GCACTTAATGCAGACATATTATTAAAATTTAGGCTGTAATGATTGTATTGATGTATAGCAACTTGAAATGCTCCCAAAAATGGCACTACAGCATGTAAAAATATAATATAAGCTCTGGCGGACTTGGTTCTATGGTAGGTCTTAAAGGGTTAAAAATCACTTTGAAAAGATGTGTCTGGCTTTATCTGCGTCTCCGTATCTGTGTTTACAGAGGAATATGAAGCACATATGAAGCAGCATGATGTAACATATAAAACTGAAGTGACTACATCAGTGGTTCAGGAACCCTCTGTGGTCGTGAGTCAGTATGAATTGGAACAGAGGAGGACAATAACCCCGATGAGCTTCGTCTCAGAAACGGTACTTGTGCTATAAACACTTGCAGTGCTGTGATAACAGATCTCAATCTACGGTTCATAATTAATGTCCATCATTTTTGCAGGAATTCCTCATTTCAGCCTTTGAGGAGAGGATAATACAGAAGATCGAACTGTGTATCATGAGAATCACTTACAAAGAGCTTGTGGTAGAGGACGGAGAGCTGATAGTGACTATAGCAGATGAGGAGGCAGTGCAGCCAGCCTTTGACACACCAGTGAAAAACTACAGGATTATGGAGGGAGTGGGAGTCACTTTCCACTGCAAGATGGTTGGAAAACCACTGCCAAAGGTATTGAAACACATTCATATAGTGAAACAACTTTCACTTTCAACCAAAGTTGGGTATATCAGAGTGATGCTTTATAATAAGCCAATAAATATAGGTTTTTGGCCTTTATTTATTATTTTGTGAATACCATTCCAGCGTTGCTGTAAAGAGAAACATTTAAATCTGACAGCTATGTTTCATGCTTTCTGTCGAGTCATTGTAGTCTCACAGTTTTATAGCAGCTTTGTTGAACTACTGTCATCTTGTGCCAGATTGCCTGGTACAAAGATGGCCAGCGCATCAGGCCCGGTGCGCGTTACCAAATTGAAGTTCTTCAAGATGGGCGAGCCAGTCTTCGTCTGCCTGTGGTGCTGCCAGAGGATGAAGGCGTGTACACTGCTTTTGCCACAAACATGAAGGGAAATGCAGTCAGCTCTGGAAAGCTTTATGTGGAGCCATCCGAAGCTGTAACGCCGCAGAGATACACACCACAGCCAGCAGTACAGAGGATAAGGTAATCTAATGATGGCACAATTAAAAAATAAATTGAGAAAATCACATATCGCCATGAGAACTGGACGTTGGATGTTTTGGCTTATAGCTTAGCTTTTAAAAAAGGCAGACAATATCGGTGACTAGCAGAATAATAGTGGTGCTTTAAAAATACACTAATAATACACACACTTTTAACAAGCACACAATATCAGGTTGAAAGCTTTCAAAGCTTCTATCCATTGCATTTTTTAAATTAAAATTTGTTTTGTTTAACTGCAGCCATGTCAAATGACGACACTGCTTCTTTCTCAGATCGACATCTCCTCGTTCTCTGAGCCGCTCCCCAGGGCGTTCCTCCAGCCGATCTCCTCGACAGTCTCCTGCCCGTCGATTTGACGAAACAGACGAGACTCAGCTTGAAAGACTATACAAACCTGTATTTGTCATGAAGCCCTCCTCAATAAAATGTTCTGAGGGGCAAACTGCCCGATTTGATTTGAAAGTTGTTGGCAGGCCAATGCCTGACACATACTGGTTCCACAATGGTAAGAACAGAAAAGGTAGCAGAGAAAAATGTCTACCTTTGTTTTCTGATTCAGCCTCTCAGTCAACTCATGTTGCCCTTCTTTTCCCAGGACAACAAGTGATCAATGATAACACACACAAGATAGTGATTAAAGAGGATGGTACTCAGTCCATGATCATTGTCCCAGCCATACCACAAGACTCTGGAGAGTGGACGGTTGTTGCTCAGAATAGAGCTGGACGGGCATCTCTCAATGTAACTCTTACTGTTGATGGTGAGTGATATATAGCACTCTTGAACTAATAATTTATTTTTAGTTAACCAAAAGATCATATTGTTAGACATTGTGTTGTTTTTTTGTTTTGTTTTTTGCTATCTATAGCTCAAGAAACCGTGGCACGTCCTCAATTTGTTGAAAAGCTGAAAAACATCACTGTAAAGCAGGGCACTCTGGTTGAGTTGGCTGTCAAAGCCATTGGAAACCCCCTGCCAGACATTGTGTGGCTGAAAAACAGTGACATCATCACCCCACACAAGCATCCACAGATAAAGTATGTAATATCTAGTATTTTATATTTTGTTTTCAGAGCAGTATAAAAATGCTTTCTTCAGTATATGTGGCCTTTTACTTTTTCAGGATTGATGGCACCAAAGGAGAAGCCAAATTCCAGATTCCATCTGCTTCAGGCTCAGACAGCGCCTGGTACACTGCTACAGCCATCAACAAGGCTGGTAGAGACACCACTCGTTGCAGAGTCAATGTTGAGGTGGACTTTGCTGCCCCTCAAACCGAGAGGAAGCTCATTATTCCTAGAGGAACCTACAAAGCTAAAGAGATTGCAGCACCCGAGTTGGAGCCGCTTCATTTGCGATACGGTCAAGAGCAGTGGGAGGAGGGTGATCTTTATGACAAGGAGAAGCAACAGAAACCACAATTCAAGAAGAAGTTGACATCTATCAGAATGAAGTGTTTTGGACCAGCCCATTTTGAGTGTAGACTCACTCCTATTGGTGACCCCACTATGGTAGTGGAGTGGCTGCATGATGGCAAACCTCTGGCTGCTGCTAATAGGTTGCGTATGGTCAATGAATTTGGGTACTGCAGCCTTGATTATGAAGTTGCTTATGCTAGGGACAGTGGTGTTATTACTTGCAGAGCCACAAACAAATTTGGAGTTGACCAGACCTCAGCCACCCTGATTGTCAAAGATGAGAAGGGACTTGTTGAGGAAACACAACTTCCTGAAGGCAGGAAGGGAGCATATAGGATGGATGAGATTGAGCGCATGGCTCATGAGGGAGGACCTGCAGGAGTTGGCGCTGATGAAGAATCTGAAAAGACAAAACCTGATATAGTCTTGCTTCCTGAACCTGCAAGAGTGCTGGAAGGCAACATTGCACGATTCCGCTGCAGAGTAACTGGTTATCCAGCACCAAAGGTTAATTGGTACCTCAACGGACAACTTATTCGCAAAAGCAAGAGATATAGACTCCGTTATGATGGTATTTACTATTTAGAGATTGTTGACATCAAGTCCTATGACTCAGGAGAGGTTAGGGTGGTTGCTGACAATCCTTTAGGAACAGCTGAGCACACAGTAAAGCTAGAGATCCAGCAGAGGGAAGACTTTAGATCTGTCCTGCGTCGTGCACCAGAACCAAAACTTGCAGAGGCTACACACGAGCCTGGCAAGATTGGATTTGATGTTGTGAAGATGGACCGACCTAGTGAGGCTTCACAAGACAGGGAAGTGGTTAAGCTGCGTAAGACACAGAGAATTCTTCATGAGAAAACTTCAGAGGAGTCTGAAGAACTGAAGAGCAAGTTCAAGCGCAGAACAGAGGAGGGTTTCTATGAGTCTATCTCGGCTGTAGAGCTTAAGTCTCGCAAGAGGGATGACTCTTATGAAGACCTATTGAAGAAGACTAAAGAGGAGCTGCTCCATCGCATGAAAGAGAAAGAAGAAGCTGAAAGGAAGAAGATGGAGGAAGAGGGTAAACTCACTATCCCCACAATAAAACCTGAACGGATAATGCTCTCTCCCAGCATGGAAGCACCCAAGATCCTGGAACGCATTGCAAGCAAGACTGTTGCTCCAATGGATGAGGTTCGTTTCAGAGTCAGAGTAGTTGGTAGACCAGAACCTGAGTGTCAGTGGTTCAAGAATGGCATTCAGCTGGAAAAGTCTGACCGTATTTACTGGTACTGGCCTGAGGACAATGTATGTGAATTGGTCATAAGAGATGTCGAAACAGAAGATTCTGCTAGCATCATGGTTAAGGCCATTAATATTGCTGGGGAGTCCTCAAGTCATGCCTTCCTGCTTGTACAAGGTAAAGCAAGTTCATCTAAAATCATTTCTGCGCCATGCTAAATTTTCTTTGTCTTGATTTGTTTTTGTCTTCTTCCTTTTGCTGTTGCAGCCAAGACAGCAGTTAGCTTTAGCCAAAACTTGGAGGATACGAGCGCCAATGAGAAGGATACCATGGTGACCTTTGAGTGTGAAACCAATGAACCCTTCGTCAAAGTCAAATGGTTTAAGAACAACATGGAGATCTTCTCAGGAGACAAATACAGAATGCACTCTGACAGAAAAGTCCACTTCCTATCTGTGCTAATGATTGAAATGAGGGATGACGCAGAATACACCTGTGTGATTGCAGATGACGAGAACATAACAACGAGTGCAAGGCTTCACGTGGAAGGTAATTTACCTAGAATATCCACCGGAACTGTCCTGTTCCTGTAAATCACATAAAAATGGTTCGGTATGTTGTTCTGTATCCAGGTGCTGCTCTCGATCTCATCAAACACATGGAGAACATTGAGGTACCAGAATCCTATGCTGGCGAGTTTGAGGTCGAGTTATCTCGTGAAGATGCTGAGGGCAGCTGGCTCTTTGGAGACAAAGTTCTCTCACCCAGCAATAAATACATCATATCGTCACGTCGAGGAAGACACACTTTGTCTGTCAAGGATGTCAGGAAAGAGGACCAGGGAAAATACACCTTTGTATGCGGTGATCTGAAGACCAGTGCCTCTCTGAAAATGAAATGTAAGCTTAAAATGTGAAGTGCATGTTACTGCTGCTGGCAAACAAGAGAATTTTCATCAGTGTATTTCAACAGCGTTCTGTTGTTTCACAACTTTAACCTGTTGAGAAACATTTTGGGTAATTCTCTGATTGCATGTTTTTACCTTAGTATTTTTGGGATGTCAAAAACACTCGTCCCAACCTGGTGGTTGTTCTCTTACATTTTACTGCATATTTTACTGGTAGTAATGGTAAAATCTAATAAGAAATGGGTTCCTCTGCCTTCAGTGCGTCCAGTGACACTGATGCAGCCCCTGACTGATCTGATAGTCTGTGAGGGTGATATTGCTCAGCTGGAGGTCAGGTTCTCCCAAGAGAATGTTGAGGGAACCTGGATGAAGAACGGCCAGGCCATTTCTGCCTCGGAACGTATCCACATTGTCATTGACAAGATGGTTCACAAGCTGCTGGTGGAGAATATCAGCACAGAAGATGCTGCCTTGTACTCTTTTGTGGTTCCTGCCCAGGACATCTCCACTTCAGGCAAACTCGGTGTTCAAAGTAAGAGTTAGAATTGGGTTTGAATATAAACTTAAAAATATTTTGTTTAAAAAAATTGTGACTTTTGACTGTCATGTTATTGCTCTTTCTTACAGCTATTGGCATTGTAGTGCCACTGAAGGATGTATCCTCTATTGAAGGCACAAAGGCTGTCCTGGAGACTAAGATCTCTGCGCAGGACATCAGTTCTGTCAAATGGTACCATAATGACAAACTGTTGACATCCAGTGACCGAATCCAAATGGTGGCAAAGGGAGCAAAGCAGCGGCTGGTCTTCACCAGAACCTTTGCATCAGATCAGGGTCACTATAAACTAGTTGTTGGCAAGGTTGACACCAGCTGTAGCCTGACGGTTGAAGGTAAGAAAGATTTTTAGTGCAGTGAAAAAGTATATGTCACCTTCTGGATTGTGTTTTTCATATATCTCATATTTAAATATTTCAGATCATTAAACACATTTTAATATTATAACCCAAGTAAACGCAAAATTTTTAAAGTTTTTAAATGACGATTTTATCTGTTAAGGCAAAAAGCTATCCAAACCTATCTGGCCTACCCTAACCAAATAACTGGTAAGGCCACTCTTGGCAGGAAGAACTGCAATGAAACATTGAATCTTCCACTTCACTGTGTATGAATGTTGTCTGCCGTCTTTGTAGAGTTGTTTTAACTCTGCCACATTGGAGGGTTTTTGAACATAAATGGTCTGTTTAAAGTCACACCAAAGCATCACAACTGGATCCCAGTCCAGATTTTAACTGGATTTGACCGACTCCTGAACCTTTATTTTGGTTTTTGACCAGTTTAAAGGTGGATTTGCTAAAGTGCTTCAGATCACCGTGTGGGTGCATAATCATTGTAATGTTTTTTGCCTTTTGGTCAACTGTGTCTTTTGTAGTCAACGTCTCCCTTGGATGCCATATTTGCACTTGTGTTTCTTATTGTTAAATCATGAACACTGACTTTAACTGTGGCTGTAAAAGGCTGAAGTTCTTTAGAGGTTGTTTTGGGTTCTTTTGTGAGCTCCTGGAAGAGTAATCAGTGCCTTCTTGGAGTCTGTCAACAGTAGGGATGGGTATCGTTTAGGTTTTATCCAATACCGGTGCCAAACCGGTACTTTTGAAATGGTGCTCGAACCGGTGCTTAAAGAATGGAGAACACACACTTTGTCCAAAAACCTCTCATGTTTAGCTGTTTTTTTTTGTAAAAAGATAACAATGTTAGCCTTTTCTGCAGCTATGGGGCATATATGGTATCACTCTTGGCTGGAGGCAGTGCTTAAACAATGGGAAAAAAACACAAACTTTGTCCAAAAACCTCTCATGTTTAACTGTTTTCCTCTTTTTCTTTGGTCATTTTAGCCTTTTTGTCCAGGGTGAAGGGAGTATCTGCCATCAAACAAGAAGACAGCCGCATGTAGCTATGATGATGTTTGCTATTTACCTTACATGCATTAATGTAATAACGTGGTTAGCCTACTCAACGTAAATTACACACGAACAACATTAAGCTACTCACGCAGAGAAGAACGGCTGCTGCTGCATCATCATCCTCATCATTTCTGCTACACTGGCAGGGCTAGGGGCCAGGACTCTCCTCTTCGGGTTTTTGGGGGATTTTGCTAAGTCCGGGTCCGATAACAGGCACCACGCCCGCAGTAGATGTGCTCGGTGTGAGGTCTCGCAGCAAGCTATCAAATACGACGCATTTCTCTGCTTTTAAAAAAACGCTATGCGTCACCAGGTGTTTCATCAGATTTGAGGTGTTACCTCCTTTGACAGCATCACAGTATCAGCTTAAAGCACTTGTTGCAGCTGCTGAGTTTGCATCTTTTGCTGTGAAGTACAGCCAGACTTTGACCGCTTCACCTTGGGCATTTTTAATCTGTAGCTCTGCTCTAAAAGGACGTACGTACCTGGGCCCGCCTACTATCCTTGGAAACGTAAAATGATTGGCTAGAATCTAAAGTGTATCACATCTCAGGAAAAAAAAGCACCGAAATGTGCGCTGCCCTTCAGTCTGGTTACTACCGTTTATGTCAGAACTTCACATAAAGCCATTTAAGTTCAGGCACCTTTTTTCCTTAAAGAATTAAATTATCATTTGGTCTAAACTTAGTGTAAATTTTGCTGACTGAAAATATTAGTGTGAGAAAAATATATACAAAAAAATCCTGGAGGGGGCAAATACTTTTTCACAGCATTGTACTTTCAGCGTGATACTGTTTTTAGGTTCCAGTCTCACTTTCATACTCTAACCATTTCATTTTCACAGAGGTGCACATTGTGAAACACATGGAGGACAAAGTGTGTTCAGAGTCCCAGAATGTGACGTTTAATGTTGAAGTCTCTCACCCTGGAATCGACTCCGTCTGGACATTCAGGAACCAGCAAATCAAACCTGGACCCAAATCCAAGATTGAGTCGAAGGGAAAGGCTCACTCTCTGACAGTCATTGACGCCATGAAAGATGAGGAGGGCCAGTACATGTTTCATGCTGGTGAAAAGACATCTAGTGCCAAGCTTACTGTCTCTGGTATGTCTAACTTTTAAGATATTATGGATATTGTGTGTTTTACTCAGATGAAATCATTTACACAATCACTGATTTTAAAAAAGACTCAGTGGCACATTGGGGTGGTAGTTCGCACTCCTCAGCCTCCCTGGGAAGATCTATGCCAGATTGCTGGAGAAGGGAGTACATCAGTTAGTTGAACCTCAGATTGAAGATGAACAACGTGGTTGTATTCCTCAACGTAAAGAGCTGGACAAGTTTTCTATCCTCTCAAGGATATTCAAGCATATTCTACAAGTGTTTTGTGGATTAGGAGAAGGCATTCGAGAACATGGGCTATCCATTGCTTACTTGCTTCTGGGCCAGAGATGAGTTTTTGTGGAGGAATTTAAGAATCCTGGGCTTGTTCAGAGTAAGAGGAGAGGGAAGTAGGGGATTGATGGATTAGTGCAGCGACTACAGTGATTTGGACACTGTAACCCTCCATTGTGGTGAAGAGAGAGGTGGGTGTAAAAGCAAAGATGTTGATAAACTGGTTGATCTACGTCCCTGCTATTCTATGGTCACACGCTCTGGGTAATGATCAAAAGAATGAGATCTTAACGACAAGGCACAGAAATTAGTTTTCTCTGAAGGATCGCTGTGCTCAGGCTTAGAGATCAGTTCAGTTATCTGAGAGAATGGAGCCCAGTGTTGGTCAAGTTACTTGAAAAAAGTAATCGGTAACTAATTACCGATTACTTCCCCTAAAAAGTAATCCGGTTACTTTACTGATTACTTATTTTCAAAAGTAATTAATTACTTAGTTACTTTACT